AAAAAAAAAAAAGGAATAGAAAGGAATTTTCTGAAATGATAACATAAGGGGAAAATAAGAGATAAGAGCGGGAGATGACAGCACATGAGAAATGTCAACAAAACTTGGGTAGCTGGACAGCTGTAATCGGCTGAGCAGACCCAAGAAAGCTCTGTGGTTTTTCAAGGAAAAGGCTGAGTGAGAGGAAGGTGAGAAAGACGCCAGTTGGAATTGAGAAGCCCCCAAATGCTCAAAGATTAGAGGCAACAGGTCCTTCTGGAGGCCAAGGTACGGGAAGAGGGGCCTGGAGAAAAAGTTCTGGTTAAAAGTCCTAAAAAGAGGGCGCCTGGGTGGCTCAGTCCTTAAGCATCTGCCTTTGGCTCAGGTCATGATCTCAGGGTCCTGGAATCAAGCCCTGCATCGGGCTCCCTGCTCCACAGGAAGCCTGCTTCTCCCTCTCCCACTCCCCCTGCTTGTATTTCCTCTCTCGCTGTGTCTCCCTCTGTCAAATAAATAAATAAAATCTTTTAAAAAAAAGTCCTAAAAAGAAGCAGTGAATGCCTCTCTCCTACCCCTTCCCACAAAATCCACTCACCCCTCCCAATACAGCAGATCACCAGTAGAACTTTGAGAAATAAACTATAGGGGACCGGGGGATCCAGAGCACCAGGTCTGGCTGAGGGTTGGAGGTACTTACGCTAGAAAAGGGGAGGGATTAAGTGCTACGTTCTTACAAGTGAAACCTTGATTCCCTTTCCCCATTGCTCCTGGAATGCTGACATCCCAGCATTCACTTAAAAAAAAAAAAAAAAGAAAAGAAAAAAGAAAAGTTGAGCCCCAGGCTGATGTCCCCATTGCAAAGCCTGCCTCTAAAAAAGTCCATTGCATCCCCTCACCTCCACCCTGACACAGAGCTTCCAATCTGTTCTTTAGTGCCTTACTCTTAATCATGACAGCTGAGGATCATCAGACATTTTAGGAAATTTTCTAACATGAAAAGACAAAAAAAAAAAACCCCACAACTCAGTACATAGAATAAAAGGTACTTGCAGAAAAAACAGACATGATACAGGGAGCAGAACAAATTTCAAAAACAAAGTTAGATATAACTACTATCTATAATGAGATAAGAGAGGGGCGCCTGGGTGGTTCCATGGGTTAAGTGCGTGCCTTTGGCTCAGGTCATGATCCCAGGACCGGTCCTGGGATCGAGTCCCACGTCGGGCTCCCTGCTCAGCAGGAAGTCTGCTTCTCCTTCTCGCTCTGTGTGCATATGCTCTTGCTCTCTCTCTCTCTCAAATAAATATTTATAATGAGATAAGATACTGCATCCTTGAAACAAATAGGACACCATAAAAAAAGGACATTTGAAGAACCAAAAAAGAGTTCTCAAAATTACAAATAAGGCAATAGAAATAAAAATGAAGAAAAACACCGACAAAAGGATAGGACTGTTCAGTTTCAGGACAGAGGGAGAACAAAGATAAAGGCCCTGAAATTTGGGGGGTGGGGGAGTCACATAAAAGGATCAGAAATCAGACTTATTAAATGGTAAGACTGAACACTGGAAGGTAACGGAGCAAAAGCAGCACAATTCTGGGGGACAACTATTTCCACCCTAGAATTCTGTACCGAGCCAAGCTGTCAGTCAAATAAGGTTAGAATAAAAGTATCTTCAGACATGACAGGTCTCAAGAAATTTACCGGCCATGCACTTTTTTTCCAGGAAATTTACAGCGTATGTACTCCACCAAGAAAAGGCTATAAACCAAGAAAAAGTCTTGAGATCAAGGAAACAGGGACCCCACATAGGAAAGAGGCAAAAGCAATGGAGGCAAGATTCCAAGACAACATATACCTTGAGCACTGTGTACCTTCCCTCCACAGGACAGATCAATATAGTGATTAAACACCTATATCTGTGGTTACTTGATTAACATCTGCCACACTCACTGCTCTGTTAGCCGTGTAAAGGTGGGGGCTGGTTGTTCTGGGTCATCCTAGAATCCCCAGTGCCAAACACAGTGTAGGTGCTCGACAAATACTTATGGAATCACTGAGGGAAGGAACGCTCACGGTTAACTGCTTGGCCAGAGCATCCCTGCTCCCCTCTTCCCAGCTCTGCCTCCACTTAGAATGAAGGGTAAGTTGAAGACCTTGGAACCCTGATGTCTGGTCCTCCTGCATGTCACTTTATTTCCCCAGGCTTTGGTGATTTTCTCTGTAATGTAGAGATGGACTAGATCTTTGCTAGGAATCTGTGATCTGTAATGATACCTACATCCTTCCACAGCCCACCGCCTCCTTCTCACCTGGGTGTGGCTCAGCAGCGGGAGGGTAGCCTGGTGAGCTGAGCAGAACGCCTGGCTGGCCTCCCAGGCCTGAGCTTCGGTAGAGACGTAGTAGCAGTGCTCCTCGGACCACATCCAGCCCCGGGGGCACGGCCGGCACCTGATCCCTGCAAGCACAGAGACCACTATAAAGAACTGAATGAGAAAAAAAAAAAAAAAAAGAACTGAATGTATGCATGTTAAAAAAAAAATCAAAATCTAGGGCGCCTGGGTGGCTCAGTCGTTAGGCATCTGCCTTCAGCTCAGGTCATTATCCCAGGATCCTGGGATCAAGCCCCGCATCGGGCTCCCTGCTCAGTGGGGAGCCCGCTTCTCCCTCTCCCTCTGCTGCTCCCCCTGCTTGTGTTCTCTCTCTGGTTCTGTCTCTCTCAAATAAATAAAAATCTCTAAAAAAAGAATAATGAATAAATAAACAAACAAAAAAATCAAAATCTAGCCACCGTTTTGAGTGAGGGGGCAAATCTGGAGCGTGGAACTGGCAAGCCTTGGGACGGCAAGCAGGGTGGGCAGGGCCCGGGCAGGCTGTAGTTTGTGTGGTGCACAGAGCGCCCCCAGGTGGGAGCTGTCAACCCCCTGCTTGTTAGAGCACAGGCTGTGTCCAGTGGGAGGCAGGAGCTCTTTGTCCCTCTCTCTGCTCAACAAGCCCAGTGTCTTCACGCGGCATCTGCCCAGTGGGGATGTCTTCTTCTAATTCTCACAAAGCTGCTGTAAGGACTAGATGCCCTGGTGGTGGACAGAGCAGGAGAGGGGACCGGGAGGAGGCACCATACCTGCTCTAGAAGCCAGAGCCACGATGGCGACTGCGGACACGGCCAGAAACACAGCCATGACCGCCAGGGCCCAGCGCAGGGACTTCATGTACATAGGCAGCCCTGGGGGAGGGGACAACCAGGAGAGATGGGTTAGAAGGAGCCAATCCAAACCACACCCAACTCGGAACCACACTGACTCACACACCAGCACCCCACCCCCTTGGCCCAAGACACCACAAAAAAAAACACTCAATTTAGGTTAGAACTTCCTATTTGGGAGAAAAATGCTAGAAGATATTCTGCTTCTTAAATTACTAGAAGACCTAAGAGTTCGTTCAAGAAAGAGAACAGATGACTGGCTGACAACCATTTGCTGAGCACTGAATGTGCATGAGACACGGCACAAATACCACCAAGAACAGGGCCAGACCTCTGCGCTCACAGAGCTAAGGGTACCAGGAGCTACCCCTCCAAACAAGAGAGGGATGCGGGTTCCATTTCAACTTCAACAGATCTGGGTTCAAGTCTGGCCTCCACAAGCCCCCAACGTGTTTTTGGTGTTTTCCCTTTTTTTTTTTAAGATTTTATTTATTTGACAGAGACACAGCGAGAGAGGGAACACAAGCAGGGGGAGTGGGAGAGGGAGAAGCAGGCTTCCCGCG